GCCAAGTATTCGGTTCCTATTTTTTTAGAAGGAATATTATGTATTTATTGAATTAGCGCAATAACAAAAATCTTCTTAGAGCATTTGTAGCGGTTCTGAAGAATAATCATTAGTATTGATTGCATTAATAGTGATGGTTTTGGCACTAATTCTGTATACACTAAATTTTGTTTTTGTAAACATCCTGTAACTTCGGAGAAAAGTGTAATAAATTTTAATTCCGATATTCGATTTAACTTCAATTAATTTTTCGACTAAACTACTTAATCTAATTGAGACTCAAAATTAGTCAATTCTACATGTATTAATATTTTATGTATATAACCTATATTGAATGTCAAAATAATGACCCAACAAGTGGGGTGCAAGGCATTGTGCCTTAAGGCAAATTGCTGGAACTTTCCGTATCGTAATTAAAAATCTTGGTACGGAACCCAAAAAAAAATACACAAAATGTGTACACATTATGAAAATCTCTATAAAAATATCTGATAATTTGATGTGCATAAGTCCAATAAACATTTTTGACCGCCAAATGTCAATAATTTTTTTAAATTATTTTTATTGAGAATCCATAACCGCTAAACCTGCCTTTCCAAAAATTTAATCAGTCTTCCTTCATTTTGTCAATACAAGTAAAATATTTTTTGAATTATTAAAATCGGACGCCCCGTTCTCTATAAAATTGAGTAACCGTTTTTGGCACGTTTTGCCCTGTATCTTCGGAACGGCTAGACCTGCCTTTGCCAAAAACAAATCAGCACGTCTTCTTATCAATACAAATCGAATGCTTTTGAATTATTCAAATCGGTTGATCGGTGTTCCTGAAATCGTTGACAAAATTTGTATCCGCACACACACACCACAAACATACACACACAGACATCCATTTTTTTTCTAAAGTATGCCAAAATGTTCAGAAAACTTTGAAACGTAAAAATATATAAAACATTTCATTTTCGATTACTATAACTTGCCCTACGCGAAGTTAAAAATGGGAATCGCTTAATTGTGAAGTTATTTGTAAAAGTTTTAATAAAATTTCAATCATTCTAAATTCATTAAACATGTTGTTGATATTGAAATGAATGCAATATAAATAATAATTTGTTAATGCAATATTGTTATACATTTCGCAAACATTCAAAAATTACAATTCAATTCCTAATGCAGATTTAATTACATTATGATAATTATAAATATTCCAAGAGTTCCCTTAGGAGTTCAAGATGAAATTCGTGTCCTACAATTTCAAAATTTACTGAAACATTATTTTAGATTTCAAACGTGTGCCATACATTTAACAACCATACAATATCAATTCGTTCTACTTTTCACACAATAATTGTAAACAAAATACACTATTGTAATAGGATCAACAGAACACCTGTTTCATACCTATACAACATTTAGGTCAATTAGAAGTACAAACTATATTTACTTTTTACTCTATTTACATATATATTTTCTTAGAATTTATTATAGAATTCATTTCAAGGATATTTCAAAATTTATGAAAGGACAATATAAGCAAATTGAACCACATTCAATAGTTTACTCCTTTATTAGCAATAAAATTAATTGAAAGAAATTAATTGGTAATGCCAAACCTTATGTAATGTTGGATTTTTATTAGTGTTGAGCTTAAAAGTTGAACTTAAATTTATTCTGTTAGAATATTTTAGAACTAGTTATATCATACTAAGGCCATATGTTAAAATCATGGTATTAGCAAATGAACAAGAAAAGCAGAATTGAGTAAAAAATATATGATAAAAATTATTTTTTACTTGAATGACTGAAATGATTATAAAAAGATTTGGTAAAAAATATTAAAACTTTAGAAATAAGATTCATTGTTTGATTCATATGTCCTCGTGGATCCATCGTGTTCTATACCAAAATTATTTACTTTACTTTAAAAATCAAACGCATTACTATACACTATAAAATAATTTTGATTAATAAATTATATAAATTTTAAATTAAATCTTAAATGTGCTAAAATATTTGGGTTTCTCATTTGGAGCTTAATTCATGACAAATTCAAGATTACTAATCAAATATAATGTAGGTACTTTCTTTATAAGGCGCGCCCAGAAATAAACAATAATATAGGAGTATGTCTGAGACCATGTAGAGAAAGTATGCTTTGGTGAATTAGTACTTAAATAGACGTTTAAACCTTATATAGTAACCTAAATAATGCAGATATAAACAAATACAGATAATTTAGAAACGTGTGTACAGAATCCACAGGAAAACATTACTGATAAAACCAGAAAATATGACAAACAGGGTTAAACAATTCAGTAAATTTTGATAAAATCTTATGTTTTATGTTTAAATTGATATTTAATAATTTACCAAAATAATATATTGAAAAAAGGGTGCGTCTAATAAACGTACGATTGCACTGATAAAGAGCAATTTATTGGAGCAAATTAGCCACAAGTTAGCATTTGTTGTACATAAACAAAAAAGTGTACAAAAAATATTTCAAATAATCAATGTCTAATAAAGTCATCGTTGAATTATATAGTACTGAGTTTTAATTAAAACTACTTTATAATTTATGGAAAGACTTTCCAATTTATATTATACCATCACACCCGGACGTCCAATCACTGAATTGGAATTCGATGTAGGCATTCTAGGTACTACCAAAAATTAGCTGATCTGATGGTCATATAGAATAAAAGATGGATTATTTTTATTTATATAAAATTATTCATAAAATCAAATGTATTATATGTTTTCGCGGAACCATCGTGTTCTATCTACCGTGTGAATTATCAGACCCTTTGATTACGCAACTTTAAAAAATCAATGAAGCAGAAGACCCTCATGACTTTGAATGAGATTTGTCAGAAATCACGATCTAACCTTTTATAATATTAATAGAAATGCTACATAAAAAGTAACTACGTCCAATAAGAAACAAAGTTATTATGTATTTATAATCCTATTATTCATAATACAAATTGGATTTAGATTATTTACGTGATTGTGTATTTTTAGATTGTAATAACGAACCATAATATAATTTGATGTCACGTATATCAAATCAAACAAATAAAGATATATGTATCGTGTATCAAATATATATAATATATATATATATATATATATATATATATATATATAAATATATATTCATTTATATAATATTTGTGACCAGTCATAACATACGACGACAATTCTTTTTAATATCATGGATTATTATAAAGGATTAAACTTAGTATACTGTTCAGCTATAATTATAAATACACCAATTTTATAAATTTGTGGCGGACGTAGCTCAGAGGTAGCATGTCCGACTCACATGCCGGAGATCGATGGTTCGACTCCTGGCGCTTCCAAATAATTGTTAATTTGTAGAATACGAGAAAAAATAGAAGTGAATAGGAAAAAAGAAGTTTAGAAGATGAGAAGAACATATTGAGAAACAAGAAGAAGAATGAAAATTGGATGGAAGATTAGGATATAAGAAGAGATAGTATATATATGATGAATGTATAAGAAATATATATGTAAGAATTGTATAGAATATGATGAAGAATAAAATGAATAATGTATGTGGCTAAAAATGCTGTAAAGCGGAGGCCAATAAAATTAAAAAAAAAAAAAAAAAATTTATAAATTTGATTTTGAAACCAGAATTCCATTAAATCACAATTAATATTGCTTAACACATTTAAATACTTTCTTTTATGCTTTTAAATTTATATTTCCAAATTTTTTATTTCATTTTTTTAATTTTTTTTTATTTTCATATCTTAACAATATCATCCTATAAGCTGTTGGGATGAAACTTCTCCTTACTTCTTTTTTGTAGATGGTAACCCAATGGTTAATACATCTATATTTGATGATTTTATTTTTAGAATTAATCTAATAGGGCTGAATTTTATTGGTGCAACAATATCGGGCGAGGGCTATTTTCACTTGGAAACATATTGCTATCAATATTTCTAGTGAAAATCGATATCACTGCCACCTGACAATAGGCTGCTCGAAGAGGGTATCGAACCCGGGACCTCTGAATCAAGTCCCGTCCCTCTTAACCTCTTAACTATGTGGGAGCCCATTTTCAGAATATAACAAAATATTTAGTTTATACAAATATTACAAAGTATGTATATTATGTATATTAGGGTGGTCTTTAACATGGACATTTTCGAATTTTCTTGCTCTCAAAGGCTCAAGTGATTCTAAATTGATAATAAACAATTCTCTGAAAGTTTTAGCTCTTAATATTAACTTTTAGATAGTGCGCAATTCAATCAAACTTCGTATGGAAATAGCATGAAAAGCATTTTGAAAATTAAAAAAAAAATTAGGTACAACTTAGCAACAAATTTTGTATAAAACTCATTCATTTGTTCGCTAAATTATATCTAAAAACATTTTTAAAATTTTTGAAAAATTTTTCATGCTATTCCATACAAAACTTTGATTGAATTTCGCACTATCTAAAAACAATATTAGGAGCTAAAACTTTGAGAGATTTGTTTTTTATCAATTTGGAATCATTTGAGCCCTTGGGAGCAAGGAAATTCGAAAATGTGCATATTAAGCACCACCCTAATGTATATATATATATATATATATATATATATATATATATATATATCAACACTCTTAGATTTTTAGAATTTAGTCATCGGTTATCATGCATGTTTGATGTAAATTATTATGAAAAGATAAATTCATATTACAATTGGAATCCCACGTTCTTTCACTGAATATTTCTACATATGATTTTATTTATGAATCAGTAAAGGCAAAAAAAGATTTTTGAAAAATCTGCATTAGTATAATCCAAAGCTTTAATAAAAGTATATCAATCCTTTCCTTTGGCTTCACAGAAATATATGCATAGATATCAAGTATAAAGTTATATTATTAATATTGATATAAGTTATGTTTGAATATATTTTAGTAAAATGAACTGCAAAAAAATAATTTTAATCATAAAGTATATTATTACTATTTACCATTTTCTGCTCCTTTTTCGCATCCAACTGACATTTGGTTTAAGCTCGCCAAAAGCTCGCGACATTCTGGTCTGTCCTTCCTTCCGAAACGAACCATATTTGATGAACTATCAGATTACACATATATTCACTAATTAACTTTACCTTCAATTAATCTTTTGCACTATATATTAATAATATATATAATATTAATCCAATGTCACTTTTGTGTTTAAGATTGTATTGTATTTGCACGAGGTTTTGTTTACGATATAAATATGAATCATATACAGGACGTGTTATTGTTTCAACTTCATTAAACTATGTAGGCTTTGGTATTTGCATACACGAATGAGGATCTTCAACTAAAAACCATATAAAATATGATAAATTTTAATTAATTTAAAATTCACGATTTATATATGAATATACGTATATATATACGTATATATATATATATATATATGCATATATATGTATATATACATATATATGTTAATAATAAATATTAATATAAATAAATAAAGCAGGTCAATTTGTATGGGACAAAAAAGTCGCTTATTCACATATAATTTTCGGATATTACAGACCAAAATAAGATACTTTGCTGAAGAAACTACACCTCTAAAATGAATTCTGATGTCCGTGCATCAACCCAAAAATAAGGGTTTAAATTTGAAAAATTCCAATTTGGTCACTTTAGAGTGCCCCAATTGCATCCAAATGCATGACCGACCCCACTAACTTTGGAAAGCCAATCCACCCATGCCCCTGGTTCAACCCATGGAGAGGTTTTTCAAAATTTAACCCTTATTTTTAGGTCAATGATATCAAAATTCATTTTAAAGACATGGTATCCAAAAATCATATGTACCAAAGTCACCTATAAATCGATCCGCCCTAATATATATATACTAGATGGTAGAGTTTTGGTTTTGTAAATATTATGAGAACTTCGAACAAAGAATCCAAAAAGTAATAAAAAACGAAAAAGTTTTTTTATAAAAAACCATATCTTTATTTATTTACTGTCGACGTTTCGGAACTAGGTACGTTCCATTTTCAGGAAATTTATCAAGTAACATCATCTTGATAAGATTTAAGCAAACAATATGCTTCAGAAAAACAGAAGATATTGGATTTTTTTATATAAAATGAATAAAATTGTGGAAAAAATAATGTACAGAAATATGATAATATAGTCAAAATGAAAATGATAAAAATAAATGAGTGGATTATATAACAACATATTAAAAATGTTAAAAAATTAGAAAGTTTTAAGAAAAGAAAAGGATACTGAAGAAACAAAATTATTTACTTATATGATTGATTATACACTAACACTTTTTCACTAAAAAAGATTTTATCAAAAAAAGTGATTTTATAATTTTCTTTTCAGAAGAAGAAACAAATTTTGTAATTCAAAATTTCTTTAAATTATGTCTTTTTGAGTTTGTTATGTGAGACAAAAAGAATTATTGGTAACAAACTGATTATTGAATAAAATGATTTTTAAGAAGAAAATACTTAACTTATATAGGGAAGCAATAAAGGCTTATTGTAACAGGGGTAAGTATAAACAGGCGATTTTCAACTATATCAAAATATTTTTTGTTTCAATTTATTTATTATTTTTGACTTATTTTAAAATTTATATATATATACTAGCAAACCCGAAGAACTCCGTTTCGCCACCAGAAAGGTTTTGTAAGAAAGATGAAGAAATTTTTTGTTTGTTTTATATTTGAAAAGGAAAAATTGGATTTTATTACACAACAGTAATGAATTTATTTCGATTACAAAAATGAAGTGTTTTTTAGTTGAACTTCACTAAGTAAATGAAAGTGAATCCGCAAATTATTAGTTTCATTGAAGTGCTCTTTGGTAAACCACATTTTTTGTTTTTTGGTCTGACGTTAACACAAACAAAGCGGATGGTTTTCGAACTCGTGAACAGGCAACATATAACTGCCAATGTGAAAAACAATGATTTTCTAAATAATCTATTTGAAATTTATCCCGCAAACACTAAGCGATTGGCCTTGGGACTTGTTATTGCGAACGCAAGGCGAACTGGAAATTGCAATCGTTTGATGTCAAACGGAAGACCAGTCGGAATCATTGGTATGCCCGAGACCTTTCCAACAAATGCAAAATTGTCGAAATCGGTTTGTGCGTTCTGGAGCTATATCGTCAGGAAGGAAAACCCCACTTTTATTTTTATATATATATGTAGATATATGTATATATATATATATATATATATACTATAAAAAATATTATAAATGAATTCTTATGATCAAACGAGAAAACAATAATTTCTTTTAGTTCACGGTAAAAAATAATAAAAACGGATTCTTTTAGTCAAACTCAAGTTAATTTGCACAGACATTCTTAAATAAATACAACAGCAACCATTATAAATCTTCAAATTTTCCCAATTTCTTCACTTCACTTTCAGCTTACATTTGAAATACCACGCGCTACTCGGAACATAAACAACCCATGCGAAGATCACAATATTTCCACCAAGCACTCGTTTCACTACTAAGCCACTAAATTTCAATTACAAAAATCATTTTTCTTAAATTTTGGATTTGTTCAATTCAAAAACTTTCTTTTAATTAAATCTTAAGCAAGTTGAATTGGTAAATAACCGGTCTTAAGAGCACATGCTCCGGCGACGTATAGAACACTACTACACAAACACATTAGACAGTCAGTAGCACAAAGACCAGGCACATGCAAAGAGAATGTTATGTAGAAAACAGGATTGAATCGGATTCCGAGATGCATTTTTATTTTTATTGCGTTCCGTTGGCCTTCCCTGTAGCGTTCAACGGATTTTTATAAATTCCTAGGAGCCGGTATAATTGGAACTAACAGGGCAAGTTCAGTGCTAAGACTATCTTAATCAGAATACTCCTATTTAGAAAGATTTCTTAAAACTTCAAAATTTATTGATTTTTTATAAATTAAGTTGCTAAATTTACAAATTAATGAAAATTCAATTATATTGATACCTTTACATTTAAAATTTTTGTATTAGTTTATACCTTGAAGCTAGTGGGGTGCATGGCATCGTACCTTAAGGCAAATTTCTGGCACTTCCGGTGTCGTAAAAATCTTGGTACGGAACCCAAAAAAATTTACACAAAATGTGTACACATTATTAAAAATCTCCATAAAATATCTGATAATTGGATATACATATGTCCAATAAACATTTTTGACCACCAAATGACATTTTTTCAACTTATTTTTGTTGAGAGTCTATAACCGCTGGACCTGCCTTCTCAAAAATTTAATCATTTCTTCATCTTGTCAATACAAGTAAAACTAGTGGGATGCATGGCATCGTGCCTTAAGGCAATTTGCTGGAACTTTCTGTACCGTAATTAAAAAAAAAATGTACGGAACCCAAACAAAAATTACACAAAATGTGTACACATTATTAAAATCTCTATAAAATATCTGATAATTTGATGTACATATGTCCAATAAACATTTTTGACCGCCAAATGACATTTTTCTTAACTTATTTTTATTGAGAGTACATAAGCGCTGGACCTGCCTTTCCAAACATTTAATCAGATCTTCATCTTGTCAATACGAGTAAGAGTTTTTCGAATTATTAAAATCGGACGCTTCGTTCTCTTAAAAACTGTTTTACCGTTTGTGGCACTTTTTGTCCCGTATCTTCGAAACGGCTAGACCTGCCTAAGCCAAAAACTAATCAGCACGTCTCCTTATCAACAACAATCGAATGTTTTTTGAATTATTCAAATCGGTTGATCGGTGTTCCCGAAATCGTCGTCGAAAATTTGTATCCGCACACACACACACATACATACATACACACCCATACATTCATTTTTTCTAAGGTATGCCAAAATATTCAGAAACCTTTGAAACGTAAAGATATATAAAAAAAATCTTTTTCGATTTTTTTGCGATTACTATAACTTACCCTGCGGAAAGTTAATAAGAATATTCCTATTTAAAAAGATTTCTGAAACTTCAAAATTTAATAATTTTCCAATTAAGTTGCTAAATTCGCAAATTAATGAAAATTCAAATACGTTAATATCTTTACATTTAATTTTTTTTGATTACTTTATACCTTAAAAAATGCTGATGAATGTGTATGCATCAATAGGGTCAAGTTATAGGAAAAATGGTTCTACCAATTTTGATCCTTCGAAACTAATTATTAGTTCAGAAATATTGATTATGCGCAGATTTCTTTGATTTCTGGTAATGGCAATATGAAGCCTGTAATTAACTAGATTGTTAACATTGAGAACTTAGCCTATGGAATTACAATTATTGAATTTTTATAATTCCCTAAGGTCTATCCAAGGATTTTTAAATAAAGTTTTTGCCGTTTTGTTTTTATGAAATATTCAAAAATATTTTTGTTTTCGAAAAAAATTTGTTTCTTCTATTGAATACATTCAGAACTTGCCTTAAAAAATACTATTTCGCGAGTAAATTTCAGCTAAATATCAAATTAACTAATTTCATGCGTCCACAGGTTTTTAAACAAAGTTTTTGTCGTTTTATCTTTATGAAATATTCACTGAAGTTTTTATTTTTGAAAATCTGATTTGCAAATTTTATGTTCTCTCGATGATTCAAATAATTCAGAATCATTTGAGAGTTTTGATTTCTCTCAAAAACGGCTGTACTGATTACAAAGTTTTAAAACCATACGATGACTGGTACTGATTAGCTAAAGGCCATAATTTGCAGATAATTGCACAATTTGTCGTCAAAAGTTTTCGCCAAAAATTCTGAGCTAATATAAACAATTCAAAAAACTTTCGAAATATCAATTGTATTGTATACACATATCAGAGAGTTCAAAGAAATTACCTCCAAAAAATACATCTAGTTTAATTTGATTTCAACCTTTTTACAATTTTTAGATTTTGTGCAACAAGTGGGAATTCTCAGAGTACTTACAAGATTCTCGCAAGAAACTTATAAGAATCACTGTAACCAAACATTACTTTCCTATTCGAGTAAAATTTTTGCTATCAATTTATAAAGCCTGCACTTATATGTACCTAATTTTAGACTCTGGACTAACACACGACATATTTTATTTACTTTTTTTATAAAAATCTGAAAATCTGAAAAAAATGAATTTAAAAATAACGTTCTTGAATAAAGTTTTGATTGACAAAAAAAAAAA